TATATATATATATATATATATATATATATAATTTGTTTAATCCCCTCTCATGATAGTCGATATATAACACGATTATGAAGTCATAAATCTTTATTCAAATAGTCGGTCGGATTCACCGGTTTATTTTTTTATTTGGTATATATATAGATTAAATTTTTAAATTTTTAAATTTTTATGTAGGTTTGATGGCAGAGATTTTTTGAGGAAATACAAGGGGAAGCAAATAATGTTTATTGGGGATTCACTAAGTCTAAATAATTATGAATCATTTTTATGCTTGCTTTATGTTTCAGTACCTGGAATGAACTACAAGACCAAATTAACAAACCAAAGTGTTACTGTAATTTTTGAGGTAAGTAAAATTTTCATTTATTTTAATTTACAAAAAAAATATGTTATAGGCTATTTTAGGTTTAGAAAAAAAAACATTTGTGAGAAAAAAAACTTAGTCCTTAAGAACGAGAAAGCATACTAAAAGGCTATTCCATAATCGATTCTTGTTGCCGAGTCGAGGGGTTGTTCAACCACTTGATTGTATGGAGAGGGGGCTTGGCTAGTTCAGGCTCTAAAAGAGTTTTCTTCGAGTAAGCAATCTTTCTATCTTTTTGGGTTGCATGTCCAAGACAATGTTTTTTTTAGATTAAGATGGATTGATCTTTGCTATCGTATTGGAAAATTAATTATTTTTGTGGATTTTTGCAGGATTATGAGGTTTTAGTGACATTATTCAACTCATTATTCCTAGTAGATGTTGAAGTGGAACCTAATATTGGAAGAATATTAAAACTAAATTCCATTAAAAATGGAGAAATTTGGAAACAAGCTGATGTTTTGATCTTCAATACTTGGCTTTGGTGGACAAGGGGAAAGCCAAAGCAACCGTATGTACTCTCATTTCTTTCCCCCCTTAAACAATCATATAAGGATTTAAGTTATAATATTTGTGGAGCCTCCATTTATAGAGTGCTAGAGTAATCCCGACATGCGTTAAGAATTGGATGACAGACACAATTTTTACTAGTTTCCACATAATTTGTGCAGTTGAAAACTATCATGTTTGTTTAATGAAAAATTGACCGGCTCTAACTACCTTGCGGAGCAAACAAAAGATCCCAAAATCACACTGCTCTATATGAACAAACAAACTTTGCACAACCATCTTATATTTTGACAGTACGAAAAAAATATCAATATAATTTGTAATAATAGGTAAATATCGATTTTATCAGATTATCAGCTAATATATACTATATAAATTCAATATAAGTGCATAGAACTTAATTAATGACCAGAGTAAAATACACAAGAGCACGATAGGTGGACGTGACTTTTTTTGATATTTTCAGTATAATTATTGAATGATCTAATAAAATCTTTATACTATGGTATATAAACAAACTCAAGAATTAATTACAAGAGCAAGATACACAAAAAAATAACTTTGTGCAATTATTTAATTAACAATTGTTATGAAACAAAAAATGGAATAAATTAATTTAATTTCCTTATTATGTTTTTTATAGGTGGGATTATATTGAGGATGGTGGGAGATTAGTGAAGGATATGAATCGTATAACTGCATTTCAAAGAGGATTAAATACATGGGTCAAATGGGTTGAGACACATGTGGATCCAACTAAAACCAAAGTTTTCTACCAAGGGGAAGCTGCTTCTCATCACCAGTAAGATAATCTTGATTTTAATTCTTGTTGTTCGAAGGTTTAGGCTTGTTTGTGTCATAATACTAGTCGTATTTTTGTAGTTGATCTTGCTTTTGATATTTATCATTCTATGTTGTTTGTTGTGTTTCGATTAACACATTACTTTGTTATTGTTATTGTTTCTTTCTTGTTGCTAAGATTGCTTCACTGTTTTCATCTTCTGTTGCTTGTATTTGTTGCACCTTTTGTCATTGATCTTTCGGAAACAGTCTCACTACTCAAGTTTTGCGTACAATTTACCCTCCTTAGACCTCACTTGGAATTCCACTGGATATGTTGTTGTTGGTGGATAAAGTTATCTAGAAGTTCAGTTTAGGTTTAGTTTTGTTCGGGTATGTCGTAGTATCACTCGTAGGGGCGGAGCTACAGCCATCCAAGGGTGGTCAGCTGAACACCCTTCGCCGGAAAATTACATCATATACATAGGTCAAATTATGGATTTAAGGGATAAATAATTAATGTTGAACAACCTTGACATAAACTCTTCCTAGGTGCAGTGGTTAAGTGTGTTCATTTCCATCTCAATTGTGTGGGTTCGAATCCCAGTGCGCACAACCTCACACACTATTATTATGTTCCTCAAGTTTCTTAATTATTAATATTACAATTTTAATAATATAGAGTAACATATATGAATACATTATTTTAATTTTAAATAGTTAAATATCATGTATTTTTAATTTTTATCTAGGATATAATGCACTTTCGAATGGTGAAAACAAAAAAACCAACATTTTACTTTAAAAATTTGTGCTTATATATGTTAACAACTTTAAATCCAAAACTAAAATCAATACATGCGTTTTATCTTCTTCTTTTTTTAAGAAAAAAAAATTCTAGGTGTGATTTATGTTTCGTAAAGCTAGACACATTTGTTCTATCAATATTTCACTTTAAAAACAATAATCATATATTTTTATCATATAAATTCAATGCATCAAAAAGAAGAAAAAAAACTCGATTGTGTATATTTGATATTGACAGATGTTGAGATCGTTTATGGTAGAATCCTTAGGTTAAAAAAATAACATTCAACTCACTTATTAAAAAAAATTCTTGAACACCCTTGATGAAATTTCTGACTCCGCCACTGATCACTCGTATATCTATAGTTCTTGCTTTTGATATTTATCGTCATATGTTGTTTATTATGTTTCGATCATCACATAATTT